AAAAGTAAGAGGTAAAAAATTAAACACTAAGTGGAAACACTGATGAACTCAATAAAATGATGTTTAATATGGGGCAAATGCTATAGTCATGACTCAGGCAGAATACTGATAGAATGGGAGTTTGCCTAAGTAAAAATAGCTGTATTATCCCTAAATAAGAGTCACTAAAACATCAATTGTGTTGCAGCAATGGGTTTAGGACACAGTACTGCGACATTTTGCATTGGAAGGAAATCATTGCACTAAATTACAGTATGTTATTCTCACTGATGAGAATTACTGCAGTAAGCGATGAGACTTATGAAGTACATCTATAGCAGGGGTTCTCCAACTGGGGCTCATGACCCTTCAGGGGGTCACAAGGTGGTTACATGGGGGTTGGGAGCTGTCAACTCCCTGCCCCCATTAAATTAAATTACCCCCCCCGACACACACCATTTTTAATGTATAAGGGTAGGGTCCCACTCAGAGGCTTGCTGTGTGAAAGGGGTCACAAATACAAAAAGTTTGAAAACCACTGATCTATAGAGAATAAAGTTCCTCTTTTTTGATTCCATGGGAGTTATTCCCATTAACACACATCCTGAAGTGCGTGTATAATTGCCATCATAAAACGGCATTCAGCCTGAATATTATTGCAAAAAGTGATCTATTTTAACACAGAAGGACAGATCCTACATTGCTTGCATGCCCCAAGTTCAGTGATATTAATGGAACATTCAGAATGAGGCCCATAAAGAGGAGAAGATCGAGTCCAGAGAAGTCAATCTGGCCTTCCAATCTCTGGCATTCACTGGCATGCATATATATATATATATATATATATATACACACACACACATATATATATATAATTAGATGCTCTGAAATCATAAATAGAAATATGTACTGGAGGGTGTAGAAAAGCCATCAATAAATGTGTTGTAAAATAATATATTATCCCCTACACTTCCTGGAATGGACAGAACAGAAGTCAAGTTATGGAAGGAGGCTGTCTAGTCTTCATTGCATCTTTCCTCTCTTCCCTTGGCCCACAAAGACTCTTTTGAAAGTGCCACAGAGGGATATAGGTTTTCTGTGTGGGGTTATGGTGGGCTAGTTTGGGGCTGCAGGGACAGCTGCAACAACATCACCAGAAAGTTAGAGGGTCTCTGCGTCGACAGCCTGTGCCTCCAGGAAACCACAGGACTAGTGTTGAAAACCCCTGCCATTCATAAAAACAATTTTCTCAACACCGGCACTCCCATCTAGCACTTCCCCCCGTGGGAACAACAACAACAACAAATCCAAAATTCAAAGACAAAACAAAAAGACCTGAAACAAACAAATCAACAAAAAAAAAAACAATCCTAAGAAAGGAGAAGAGCCAGAGACACTATAAAAACCACTAGGGACTCTACTGTTGCTAAGCTATTTCACATAGAAAATATTCAGATACTACAGTCATGGGCAGCAGTAGCAATTCTTAGATAGATCGATCCATGGTTGAAGAATAAACCTGGTTTCCAGACAGAAATCCAAGGAAACTTCACAAGTCCAAAGCTGTGGTTGCCCCGCATCTACACATCAGTAACCTGCCCCGTAGAATGGTCTAGCTCATTGTAACCACGTATACAAAAACAATTTCTTAACGATTATTAATATACTGCATGAACAACATTTCATTGTTTTAAGTTTTATTGAGAGACGATTTAATGTAATTATTTATTTAAAATAAAAGGGTTTCTTACAGATAAAAATAGTCTTTATACCAATATTTTACTTCAGTTTAACTGTCTTTCAATTCAAAGGCTCCACAAAGCACCCTATATAGTAGGCACTTCATCCATCATTAAAACACAATCATCACAAACATAAAACACATTAAACACAATCATCTCTGATTTGGAGCATGAGAGCTGTTTAATATAGGTCACTGCAACACTTCACAACTTCATGATAATAAGTGAAGAAGAATACCACAGCCACTTGCACCTGCAGCGGTAAATTTCTTCTCTTATTTGTTATCTGGCCAAGACATCAGTACTAAGATCAAAATTCTTGTTAAAGTCATGAGACCACTATTTTTACTGAATTTGTTATGCTCCTTGAATACATTAAAATGTTAGATTTAGAATATTTTAAAAAAAAAACATGCACCCAAAAACAATACAGAGTTTTGAGGGGGAGTAGAAAACTTCTGATCTATACTTACTTTAACGTTTCATTCCACCGTGTGTTCCATTTCATGTCTTTTAGGGATAGACATGAGCATGATTTCTACAACTCTTTTCATTGTTATTTGTATTAAAGTAGCAGAGGCCATTCAGGAGTAAGGCACTATCATAGTGGGACCTGCGCAACTGCAAAACAAGATCGAATCCCTGCCCCCAAAGAACTTTCAGTTTAATTTTAAAAACAATGAGTGATTATAATCATCAGAGCGAGGACAACAGTAACAGTGATAAGCATATACAGTTACATAATCTTGCTGTGGGTGAAATAGGTCATTTAAAGTCATTATTTATTTATTTTAAATACTAAGATATAAATTCATAGGCATCCCTGACAGACAAGATGCTAGAATCTGCTGTGGTGAAGAAGAGGGAGCCATGATCACACTCACAGGTCAGGAAGATGATTTTAACCATCACATTTTGAATTAATCTGAATGGGGGGCAAGGTGGATATTGTACAGCCAAAGAAGAGTAGGTTGACATGATCAGGTCAGGAGATGATGAACAGTTTAATTGTGGGCATAGAGTGGAACAGCCAGATCTTTTAAATGTCGTGCAGAAATAAGCACCAAGATTTGAAAGCGCCTGGATGTGAGGAGCTAAGATAAGGGTAATTTCAATGATGAATTGAAGAATCTTCAGGGTTCCTAAAAATCACTTGCAAAAGTCAAGAGGAAAAGGGATCATTCCTTTGGTAGGATGTGACTTCAGACCTGGTATTTATTTTTATGTGGACATTAATTTGAGATGCACATTTATAGATAGCTACAAGGCAAAACCACTATCATTGTTAGCATATATTCAAGTAACTGAACGTGGGGATATTGATCATCGTACTAAACCAGAGGTGGGCAAACTACGGCCCTCGAGCTCCTGCTGGGGAGCAGGGTTAAGGGCTTGCCCCACTCCGGTGCTCCAGCCGGGGAGCAGGGTCGGGGGCTGCCCCCCCCCCAGTGCATACTGTGACTCCGAACAGCTCCTGGAAGCAGCGTCATATCCCACCTCTGGCTCCTACATGTAGGGGCAGCCAGGGGGCTCCACACGTTGCCCCCGCCCCAAGTTCTGCCTCCAGACTCCTGTGGACTGGGCAGCACGCAGAGCCACCTGGCTGCACCTCCATGTAGGAGCCGGAGGGGGGACATGCTGCTGCTTCTGGGAACTGCTTGAGGTAAGTGCCATCCGGAGCCTGCACCCCAACCCCCTGCCCAAGTCCAGAGCCCCCTCCTGTGCTCCAACCCGCTGCCCCAGCCCAGAGCCCCCTCCCACCCTGAACTCCTCATTTCTGGCCCCACCCCAGAGCCCTCACCATCAGCCGGAGCACTCACCCCCTCCCACACCCCAACCTCCAATTTTGTGAGCATTCATGGCCAGCCATACAATTTCCGTACCCAGAGGTGACCCTCGGACCAAAAGGTTTGCCTACCCCTGTACTAAACTGATACACTGTGTAACAATCCCTACTTGATTCTGGAAGGCAGTGAAAGCTAAGCCCTTTTTGGCTTCCAAACCTAATTAGACACTTACATTTTATGGCATTTGTCTTTTAGGAAAGATGAAAACATAAAAGAAGTTGTTAGGCGCTATATTTACTGAGAAGCAGGGGATCATAAAACACATGAAGCCAGTAAAGATTTTTCCTGCTATCAGAATGTATTGCTCACCCACATTTACTCCAGTGCATATGCTGGCAGATATTATGTTGAATCCTGGTGCATGACCTCTGTTGACAATCAGCACAGTCCCAAACTTAGGTGGAGGCAGGCCAGCAAATGGGCATATGCAGGGCAGCCAGGAAGCCCTATTCTCTCTCCATTTACATTCATTTTCTGGTTTTACTTTCTTATAATCCTGATATTAGGCCCAGTCCTACAGAGAGGTCCCACTGGCTTCAATGGGAATGCCACATGCAGACTGAGGCCTTTTGGCCTCACTCAACCAAACCACTATCTACTTCAATGGGAGTTTTGCATAAGGCCAAATTCTACCCCCCGGCAGAAAATCTTACAAAGGGCACTTTAAGGGGGTGTGGAATCCTCTCCGCACCCTCAGGATGTGGAGTACAAGCAGGAGTGCCAGAACCTCGGTAGAATTGGAGGGGGGGAGGGCACAAGGCCCCACCCATCTCGGTGGCCCTTCCCCCTGCTCCTCTTCTCCCCCCCAAGACCCTGCCCCCTGGCCAGGCCGGAAGTCAGAGCCGGGCAGTGGTAAGAGCCACCTGGGGAGTCCTGGACCCTCCACCTGCCCTGGGTGGGGGGCTGGGGTGTCCCTGGCTTGTGTTCCCACCCTCTGGGGCATGCCACGCAGAGCAGGTGGAGGGTCCAGTGCTTCCCACAGCAGCCTGAGCTCTCTGGGCAGCTCTTACCACTGCCCAGATCCAGCTTCCGGCTTGGCCACGGGGCAAGAGGAGGAACAGGGATGGGGCCATGGAGAGGGGCCAGGACTCATGTCGAGGGGGGACTAAGGCCCACCTCCCTCCTCCTCATCATCACTTTTCTTCTCACAATACATTGCATCCCTGAAACCTGTGCCCTAAAGCCCTTCCTTATATACCACCACATAGCACTGCTCTGGAGATGTGCATTCTCTCTGTGTATCCTTTCACCATCCAGGAAGAATGATCAGCAGTGGTTTCTCTGTATTTGGGCTTGCCAAGCAAATAGGATATTTTGGGGGCAGAACTGCTTGATGGGGTTCACTGTAAATATATCAGTGTTAGAGCTTCTCCACCTTTGACATAGATGGGTTCATTGTAGTCCCTGCTTAAAGACAGAACTTTCAACAAACCTTCTGTCTTCTTCCAGTAGACTTTGATCTGAAGGTGATTGTCTTGATAGAAAGGAGCTCCAATTTCAAGACGACGAGCCGGTCTTCTTCTTTGAAAGGGTGGAAGAGGATCAGCTAGTCCTTTCCGGGTTTTCCCAATTGGAGAGGTCTGTTCTTCTGCAACATACAACACCATCAGGAAATATCTTGGTTTAATACAGTGCAACCTAAACACTGAAGCATTGTGCTAATAGTGTTTGAGAGTCAGAAAATGAAACTGACAGAAACTAACCATTCTTGTTTCATTGCCCAAACTGAGTGAAATAAATGCAAAAAATAAACAAAACATCAAGGATAAAGAAGCAAATTAGTTCTTTAATATTCTTTCAGTTTTAAGAGTATTTTAAATCTATTTTAATGTAAGAATGTTCCATAGTTCTATATTCCCTTCCTTCAAAGTTCTACTGTATTTATACTTAGATTTAATTTAATTTAATAAAAGTATTTACTACTTAGTCCTGCCACGAGTGCAGAGGATTGGCCTAGATGACCACTAAAGGTCCTTCCCAGTCCTACAATTCTATAATCCTAGGAGCAAGAAATGTTGATATTTGATACTTTGAGATTCTAATGGGCATTATATGTAGTTGTAGTTTTGTATAACATTTTGGGTGCTATATTTTCAAACAGTAGTTAAATACACACAAACACAGTATACAATACACAAGTACAGTATAGAATATAACCTACAGGGTGTAGGTGCTACGTTAAAATAAATATGCCTTTTTATATTGAAACATCTTACTAACATACGTCAGTATTTAGGAACAGAATTTAAAAATACCCCAGGCATCTGCAGTTTAAAAACAGTAGTATTGTATCCAAGCTTTGAATCAACACTTTCACTACCTGAAAGTTGCAAATTCGAATTTAGGGGACAATATTTACATCTGATTATGAAACATGATGTATTTAATTAATTACAGGTTTCAGAGTAACAGCCGTGTTAGTCTGTATTCGCAAAAAGAAAAGGAGGACTTGTGGCACCTTAGAGACTAACCAATTTATTTGAGCATGAGCTTTCGTGAGCTACAGCTCACTTCATCGGATGCAGTACTTAAATGGAAAGTAAAGATGCAAACAACCAAAAAGCTGCTGAGGAATCAACAATATATTGCAAAGAAAGGAGAGGAGACTCAGGTTTGATTTATTAACGAAAATAATTGGATAAAATGTAAATTTGAAGGTTCTGCCTTATTTACAACTAGTTCTTCCTTTTCGTCTATCCATTCTTGGGAACAATCAGGGGCTTGAATAAGACTATCCCTACATATCTATCACTTCAGAAAGAGGTGTTCATGTTGTATGTTTCACAAGAATGAAGCAGACAAGCAGAGTGGAATGATAAAATAATATGTTCCTGAGCACGGAAAAACCCCTTAGGGTCTGATCCAAAGCCCACTGAAGTCAATGATAATCTTTCCATTAACTTCAATTACCTTACTGGGCTTTGGATCAAGTCCTTTGTTTTCTGTAGTTGGTGGAACCAAAAAGATTTTCAAGATTATGAGGCTGTGGTGGGGTATCTGCCCCATACTGCCAGAAGAGGGGTTATAGCAGGCCTGGGAGGCTATACAGGAGGCAGCCAATTAGGCAAAGGCTTGTAGAGACAGCCAATCGGGAGAAGGTTTAGAGAGACAGCCAATCAGGGCCAGGCTGGGCCATATAAGAAGGGCTGCTGAACAGACCAGCTTGAGTCACTCCCTGGAGTTTGAAGAGGGAGGACAGCACCATGGTCAGAGCAGTGCTGGACAGGTCAGGGGAGCATAAGTGAGCTCCTGGCCAACCCCTGCCAGACTGAGGCCCTGATACAAGGGTGGAGAAGGTGCTAGAGCAGTGGGGAAAATGGCCCAGGGAAAAAGATGGTGGGGGTTGGAGGTGTTGCAGAGCGTGACTGCCGCCCGCCCCCCACCTTTGGCCCCAGTTGCCACTGACACAGGTGGATAGACCCTGGACTGCAGCCTGCCACTGAGGCAAGTGGCTGGTCAGAGAACTGCCGGCCCTCCTGGAAGATGGGGGGGGGGAACTGAGTGGGGCACAGCTGGACGGCTGTGTCCAGAAGAGGACACCGCAGTCCTGAGGGTGACATAGGTCCTGACAACAGAAACGACAGCAGCAAGATGCCACTAGATGAAAGCGCACTGGCAAACCAGAGCTAATTGCCAGGATGGCCAACAGGAGGTGCTGTGGTGTTGAGTGATGCGCTCCATTACAGAGGCATGCTCTAATGTGTCATAAATAGGTAAAATTTGGCTTGTCATCCTTGAAAAGTTATTTGCAGCGTTGGTCCCGTGATGTTAGAAAGCCAAGGTGAGTGAGGTAATATCTACTGGACCAACTTCTGTCAGTGAAAGAGACAAGTTTTAGAGCTACAGTGCTGTGTAGCTCAAAAGCTTGTCTCTTTCACCAACAAAAGTTGGACCAGTAAAAGATATTATCTCAGCCACCCTATCTCTCTAAATATCCTTGAAAAGTGTCTCTCTGGCAATGAGCAATTATAATATTTATTTAGCAAAAATACTCTGTAAATTAATGATATCTCCTTTAGAATCAGGCACTAGTGATATACCCTATAATGGGCACAGGCTGAATTTAAGGGAATGAAGCGCCAAATTCCCGCTGAAATTCAGCTCTGCTTTCTTAGTTTCATCGATTCCAAGGCTAGAAAGGACCATTGTGATCATCTAGTCTTACCTGCTGTATAACACAGACCATAGAACTTCTCCAAAATAATTCCTAGAGAATATATTTTAGAAAAAAGCATCCAATCTTGACATTTCATCCAATCTTCATTTACCTCTTCTCAGTGAATTTAGAGTAGAATACTAACAAACAACAGGCTCAGTGCAACACAAACTCTAGAAGCATTTTTGGGCACTGGTGATGTGGCAACAGTGCCCAAAACAGTGAGCCAGATTCTGACGTTAGTGAAATCAGTCTGAATCCAGAAGAGGATCCACTAAACAAAAAGGAGATACTCCAGATTTACACCAATGGAAGAGAGATCACAATCTGCCCAGTGACTGTGCTGAAAACTATCTAACAACATTAAATACTAATTCATAGCATTGATATACCAACTTTCATCAAAGAACCTCAAAGTTCTTATGAAACATAACTGACTAACAAGATGCCTCTGAAGTAGACAAGTAGATGTTATTATCCCCATTTTATAGATGGGGAAAGAAGTTTCTTGTGCAAAGTCACTCGGTGAGCAAGTATCCGAGGACAGGACTTTAAGTCCCTGATCTCAGTTCAATATTCTAACTACTTGATCATGTATCATTGTGTCTATAGTTTACATGGTTAACACTGTTCTATGAAGTTTTTACTTTAATTCAAGCTCACTTGATTAGTTTTATTATCAAAATCTACTTATTATCTGCAACAGATCTGCTAAGTCTTACATAGTTGGGGTTAATTTTAAAAGCATTTTTAACCAGAATTTCACTATGATGATAATGAATTGTGAAATGTGTTTCAATTACACATTGCCAGTCCCATATTTTCTTAGAATCTTGCTCATATCAAATATTGCCACTATGAGCCTTGCTTCAGGGGACAGATAGCACAATAACTCAGAGCATTTGGCTTTTGCAGTTCTGCATTCATGCCTTTGCTATAAGACAAGCAATATTCTGCTTACATTTGAACTACCCAGTTTTGTGATCTGTTACTACAATCTGAATAACAGGTAAAGAGATTTTGCTAACAAATTCTGGGCTGATTCTGTTCCCATGAAAATAAATAGTAAAAGTTCTACTGAATTCAATGGGAGAAAGACTAAGCCCTTAATTTGCTGTGCTTTGCTAACTTCATCCAGAGTTAGCCTAAGCATTTTCATATGTTTCAGTGTTGCCTGTTCTCATGATTTTATGGCAAGTCTCACAATATTTGTTGATTTTCTTTAAAAAGCCTTAGAATCATAATATTGTGTGAGAATCTCTGCTTTCATTTTTTAAAAAAGTAAGGCCCAGATCCTCAAAGGCCGTGATTTCAATGGGAGTTAGGCACCCAAATGCCTTTGAGGATCTGGGTGTAAGTTTCTAACCCTCATGGTTGCGGAGAAAAGCTTAAAAACATGAACTCTAACAGCTCAAAAACCGGAATGGAAAAAAAACAATCCCCCCACCCCCAAATAATTACTATTAATCTCATGATTTTTTAAGATAACCTTTAGAGTCTGGCATATACTTTTTGAAAGCTTGGGGCTGGCAGTTCTGGGGCCTGCTGAACAATTTTTCAACCCTTCCCCGTACCCACCCACATACACACACCAAGCACAACTTACTGGTACTCACAGCAATGACACTTGTATAACCAGATTTAGCCTGAGGGCTTGAAGAAAGATAGCAAAACAATCTTTTGGGGTATATCCAAATGTAACTGACTCATTTCATATAAAAATAATGTGTGTGTGTTGCAGGCAGAAGGGGAAGGAAACTCAGTTCTGTCTCTCCCTCCTGTTTCAGGAAAAGGAAAGCACCATTGCTTATAATGGGAGTTCTTGCGTAGTTGTCAACCTTTATATCTCAGTATACATAGAATATATCTTATTTGCATCCAAAATGGACTGAACATGCTTGCAGAGCGGTCCACCTACATTAGCAATCAGAATATTCAGTACTGGAATACAGAATGATATAAGAGTTAGAAAAACTGTTGCAATTAATTTTCATTTTGCTTATAACATAAAAGGGAAACTAATGCAAAAGGAATGAAAAGATGGGGAAAGCAAAGATGGGTAAAATGGCAAACTTTGGAAACTGTTTGTGGTCTAATCCTGAAAACTATTACTGTCATAAGCATCAGTGGTTGTATTTGGTTAATCAGATGACACATCGGCAGTTGGAAGGGCAGATCAATCTTGACCTTGACCTTAGACAAATTATTATTCAAAGAGTATTTAACTAAGATTGAGTGTCACAGTATAGGCCCCTCGGGATTTGAAGAATTTTTCCACTGTATTGTTTAGCACGTGAGTTTAGTTTTAGAAAGAACTTAATACCTCAAGACTTCATCTTGAAGGTAAGTGCTGTGCATGTGATACAAGTTTGGGATTAACTTCTTGCCAACCAGGACACTGTTTTATATTTTAAGATCCTAGTAGGAGAATCAATTCTTTGTCCGAATCCACAGGATATATAAATTTGCGCTAAGATCTGAATTTATGGGCTACTTGAAGTTGCCAACATTTTAAAAACTTTTGCAAGGGAAAATTGTACAGTTAAGCCAGTGGTCTGGGATTTGCTTCTGCTCTGTTTATTGGGAAGTTTAATGTGTATTTCGGGGAATTTTAGCACGAATATAACACTATGACCCTGATCTTGCAAATATGCACATGCTTAACACGTTTATTTTTTTAAGTAATTTTCAAAACAGGCAAGGTAGATAAAACTTATTATCCCCAATTTACAGATGAGGAAACGAAGACAGAAAACTTAAGTGACTTGACCAAGACCACAGAGGCATGCTATAATACAGCCACCTATAATGGGTGATTTATTTATTTTTTGAAATCTGAGAAATCATCAGTTAAAACAGAGCGTAAGAGGACTTTGGATGCAGTTACTTACTATTAATAGTTGTTTGAGTTGAGCTGAAATAGAGAGACACCTTGGCGCTTTTTAGTCGTACTTGTCCCCAGTATGTTACTGCCTGCAGTTCCACCATGTAGTTGCTGTTGGGTTGCAGTCCCTCCAGGACCACATAATTTTGGGACTATAGTGAAAGAGAATATACACGCAGAATAGTTATGGGATTGCTGGCTCTTATTAAATTAAAAGCAGGTCTGTTGTCTTAGGCACACAAAATTCTTCTTGGAATGAGAATTTATAAATTTCACCAGAACTCAACTTGCTTTCTTCTTTGATTTTTATTTCATACTCTCTTTCATTTGGACTCTGTTCTGTGTGTAGTTTTTAAAATGCTAAACTTAGTGATGTCTACAGAACTTGCCTGTCTTTAGTAAATATAGGCATCTGCTGTTTTAAGCCAAGACTAAATTTCTTTTTATATGTATAACCAGTTTTTCTGATGCCAAAAAGATTTTGGCCAGTGAAATCTAAACTTTGTGTTTCCCAGCTCCTGGACAGACTCAATTAGCTAAGCAACAGGAAGCTTTGTCTAGAGACAGCTAGTCTGAGGACAGATAGAACATACTGTGCAGTATATTGAACAATATTTTTCTATTTGCTTCTGTTGTTGCTAAAATACCAACAAGAGTGCTTTTCATCTTTGTTAGAGAAAGAAAAGAAACAAACAAACAACCCACAACAACTCAGTTCTCCAATGTCACCGCATGGAGAGGCTCATGAACTGGATTTTCATTCTCTAGTTAACAATCCACAAAGTAAAACAAATCCCATAAGACTGCAAACAAGAGACATAGCCTTTCTGAATTCTTTGCATTTATTTATAGATTTATTCCTAAAAATGCACCATTGTATATTTCGTCAAGCACAAATTTGACTCTGCTTTTTTACTCTGAATTCCTTTCAGAGTAACAGGTTTCAGAGTGGTAGCCGTGTTAATCTGTATCAGCAAAAATAATGAGGAGTCCTTGTGGCACCTTAGAGACTAACAAATTTATTTGGGCATAAGCTTTCGTGGGCTAAAACCCACTTCATCAGATGCATGAAGTGGAAAATACAGTAGAGAGGTATAAATACACAGCATATGAAAAGATGGGAGTTGCCTTAGCAAGTGGGTGGTCAGTGTTAACGAGCCAATTCTCAACAGTTGACAAGAAGGGAGGAAAAATAACTTTTGTAGTGCTAATGAGTTCAATGTAATCAAGGTGGCCCATTTCAAACAGATGACAAGAAGGTGTGAGTATCAGCAGGGGAAAATTAGTTTTTGTAGTGACCCACCCACAAGGTGCCACAAGGACTCCTCTGAATTCCTTGTTACTTGTCTAGCTTTCTTGTGTCAACTAGGAGTGGCGTGTCAACCATGCAGTGTCATATTTAACACCAAATAGTATGTTAGTACATCTAAAAATATTGCAAATTAACAATCATTACTTGGTTTGTTCTGAGAGCGATTTATAAAATTGATTAAGCCTCTTGATTTCCCCAGTTCATGTAGTGGCATTGTTCATTGTAAAATATTGTAGGCCAAATTCTCTGCTGGCAATTCCACTGACTTCATATAGATTTAGTCATAAAAGCATGGACTGGGTTACTTCTAAAAGCAAAATTGGTTAAAAAGTTTGAGTGATCTTATCAAATCAGGGGAATACATCTCTCCATGTCTAGAAATGTGCAATTTTGGTTTTTGGAAAAGTTGTTCTAATATTTAATGGATCATTGATTGGAACTGACTTCAGTGGAGTTCCATCAGGGAATTTCCCCCTTTACTACTATCATTTTATAGCTTTCACAGTATGCTGTAAAAGAACAAAGCACAATGAGATACTTCTCCTCAGAGTAAAAGTAAAAAGAAAAGGAGTACTTGTAGCACCTTAGAGACTAACCAATTTATTTGAGCATGAGCTTTCGTGAGCTACAGCTCACTTCATCAGATGCATACCGTGGAAACTGCAGCAGACTTTATATATACACAGAGAATATGAAACAATACCTCCTCCCACCCCACTGTCCTGCTGGTAATAGCTTATCTAAAGTGATCATCAGGTGGGCCATTTCTTGTGCTGGAAATGGCCCACCTGATGATCACTTTAGATAAGCTATTACCAGCAGGACAGTGGGGTGGGAGGAGGTATTGTTTCATATTCTCTGTGTATATATAAAGTCTGCTGCAGTTTCCACGGTATGCATCTGATGAAGTGAGCTGTAGCTCACGAAAGCTCATGCTCAAATAAATTGGTTAGTCTCTAAGGTGCTACAAGTACTCCTTTTCTTTTTGCAAATACAGACTAACACGGCTGTTACTCTGAAACCAGTAAAAGTAAAGTTATTCTAGGGGCTAATCTCTGCTTTTGGATGTATGTGCTTGGTTGTCATAAGACATGTTCACAGCTCTCATTGAAGCCTAAGGCCAGAACTTGGACCTACTAACATAAAAACGTGTCATCTTGTATGATGGAAAACTGAGATAATGATACTTAATCCTTTGTAAAGTTCTTTTGGATATAAGAGCAAGGTTTTATTTATTATCTGTTTTTAAAACATCTTGATGTAATACACTTTCTACTCATACATCTAAAGTGGTTTTAATTCAAACTAAGGATCCATTTCTATTTCGAATTTCCTTCCTTTTGTGATTTAAAGGACAGCCTTACTACATACCTGGGTAGGGATCCCTGGGATTGGGGCCTCTTTGGTTGAAGATCTCTGACCTATAGTACTTTACCTGGGAACTTCAGACTTCACTACCTGCCTTTTATATGCCAGCTCTACTCCTGTGTCACCCAGTGGAATACACAGTGGTTATAAGAAAGCAGAGATACCCTGGAATGCTACCCTCATTTTCAATGTGTTTTTAACATGGGGCTTTGAAAGTGAATTTTTAATTGAAGAACACCACATAAAACCAGAGTCTCTGGTCCACTAAGTCCACTTTATGTCATGTAAAACATGGCTGGAAATAGCTAGTGAACTGCCCTTGCATAGGGGAACTCTCTGCTGGTGGAACTCTGGTGCCCCCCAATCTGCAGTGTGAGGGGAATGGGGCATGTGTCAATGGTGTTCCAGGGAGTGATTCCAGGGAAAAGAGCTCCATTATGCGTGATCCTCTGTCATAGCGGAAATTAGAGTAGGCCCCCTGCTGCTTTCACTTCCACTAGGGCCAGGTGGCTGAGGATCAGAGAGCTGAAATCACCTCCTTGTGGCCCAACACTCTGCACTACGTTCTCAGATGTAGTGAAGAATCAGGAATGTAATATATTGCTAGTATGTTGCTCTTAATGTAACTAAGACAAGAGTCTGTCCCATGGCCTTTAGTGGTTTCTATTTCTATTACCTATAAAGCTATTTATAAAAAGAAAATGCAATGTGCCTAAGGGGATTACGGCAGCTAGTTTTTCGTTAAACCAATGCGTTACATATCAATTCAGAAGCTGACATTAATCTTTTCCTATGGAAATATTTCAGCATATTGGTACAGTAGAATTATTTAAGAAGGATTTTGTTATTATCTTAGACCTACATGGTAACTAACCCATCATAAATTTCTCTGATATGAGCAAACATCACTTCCAGAGTTCCCTTGATATAATGAAAACTATGCTATAGATGACATTTTATTGAATGAGCATTCCATCATTCAGAGGCTTCCAGTAAAATAAGCCTTATGTTAGAGAAATAATTAGTGTTATATATTAATTGTACATCTACAATAGATTCCAGTTTATCTGGATTTAGACACTTAAAATATTTCCATCTGTATATATGGTTCAATTCTGCTGTCAATCAACACTTGCTCCTCCCTTTGACTTCTACAGAACAATAGCAATGCTTATTTCTAAAGAAAACTGGCTATAAAACTATCAGAGTGATCTTCTTGTAAATTAAAAAGGAATACACCTTTCCATCCTATTTATTTATGTGACTTCACATTTATTTGGTACAACACAATTTTGTTTTTTAAACCAGAAATATGTTTTCATATGCCATGACTGAGTAGGAGCATTTGTGCCTCATTTTCCAGTTTGCTCCTTACCCCATCAGTAGTCTTTCTTCTTTTCTTCTTAGCTGGGATGACAGACTTGCTGCTGACTGTCCAGCTCCAGAAGACTTTGTAGTGATGCACTGGGATATCAGGTTCTTCCGGGAGATCCCAAACAATCCTCACAGTTACACTTCCATCACTATTTGTAGTGGAGTTGGCAATTCTGAGATTAGCTGGGGCTGGTGGAGCAGATGGGTCTGGAGTAAACAAAAACAAAAACACCCCCCCAAGAATATGAAGTAATATGGATTAAGTAAAGATGACCTTTCTCAGTAACTATTCTACAGATTTAACTGCTGAACTCATAACACCAGCTATCATCACAGTTTGCTTCATTCTTAAGAAACAACTGAATATGTTTCATCAACTTTTGTAAATTATACCACTTGGAATCCAAACTCTTTTCAAATGTACATTCTGGGATTAGGTTTAGTTGTGCCATTATTCTGCAAGTCTTGTTGAACATTTATTATGATGTTCAATAAAAAAAATATATTACAGATTTTACTTCTGGCTGAGATGAAAAACACATGTAAGGAACTGTATAAGACAAAAATGTTTTATAGATGGTCCAAGAGAAAAATTAACTTCCTTCCAGGAATGAAGAGTAGAATACTGAATTTTTCTCTTCAGTATCCTAAGGGAATTCTCAGGAGATAAGATCTATGTATGCCCCTATCTGTCCATCCTTCCAGGTTCTCATATCAGTGCCCAGCACCATAGTATTTGAGCATTTCCTTAGAGTAAAAACAACAAAGATACATCTCTCTTCCTTTCCTGCCAGCCAGAGGGAGTCCAAACCCAGAAAGCTAATAATACTCTATATGCTCATCATTATAATCTATGCATTCTATTTCAAATAAATAAGACCAATGAACAAATCCTTGCATCTTACAAGGCCTACTATTTTAATTTCTGGTAAGTAATGTGGATCCTGCAACTGCCTCTGTATTTGTGGAACCAAGAACCATCTCAATGATTTATATAGCCAACACGATTCTAATGTGCCTATCACCTTAAAATCTAGGCAGCAATAGCATCTTCATTCAAGGATCTCAAAGAGCTTTATGAATATAAATTAAGTCTCACAATACTTTGAGGTAGGGAAGTGCTATTCTAGCCATTTTATAGATTTGGATTTGTAATACAAATAATTTAAATAATTTAAAACAAAAAGACAATTTTAAAAATACAGCCAAAAAACAGCCTCCCCAAAACCCGAAAATAACCACAGAAATAACTATAACAATCCTTCCAATATTGTCACATTCCTTTCTCTCCAAAAACATCCTGAGTAAAGAGGGCATGCCTCAAGATTTACCTCAAGGTCAATATATGGACTATTCCTCACCACGCAGGAGAGTGAATTCAAAAGCTGAATTCAAAAGCTCAAAGCATGTCCTACCAACACCACCCCCAATTTCATGCAGAGGAGGCGTCCAGCATTGGCAGTTCTGCTGTCTGCAACTAGGATAGTATGGCACGGAGAGAGTGGCAAACTATGGCCTAGGCCAGGAAGTCAGTGACAGATCCTGGAAGAGAATTAGGAGGAGGTCCTGATTAGGAGGACCCTATACTACAGGTTGGGCTGATAGCACAGCTTATTATTAAGCTTGCCTGACACTTCCCATTATAAGCAATTAAAAAGTAGGATCTTATAACTTTCCCAAACTAAGTGTTTGGGCTGAAATTTTCCATGTGAAGTGTCTGCCTCAGCCTGAATAGTTTTGCGAAATTTCAGCCCAAATGGTCCAGATGTTTCCAAGATTGAGACTAGGGGAAAATACATTGTTTAACCCTGGTTAAACAATTCTGGTAATCTTTTCTTTGAAATGATTTCTTTGAACTCCCAAAGAGCAAGTGATCATGTTTGTGCTTAGGGTGGCAGTGGCTCAGAAGTACATTCCCTATAAGGTGTGCCCTAGCTGCTCCGGGGCAGTGTAAGGCCTAGCACTGAAAATGATAGGAGGGAACCGGTCTCTCCTGTACATCCAGTGACACTCCTATTGGCACCCAGGCAACAAGAATAGTGAAGTCATATGATTTGAATTCAAAAGATAACCTTAATTCTGACATTTCCTATCTGTGCAACCTTAATTTGGCTCCCTTGTGTGTATGCATTACAAGATAGCTTTTTAATTACATGATCATATACTGTTGTTTCCACAGGACTCCTGCCTCAGTCAGTGTACAGGATGGTTCTAGACTCATAAAACCCTTGGTATTATCTCCCTTTATTCTCTGAGGCACAGAGAGATTAAAGTCAAAAGTATCCATTAATTTTGGACGCCCTATTTGAGATACCTATGAACTATTTTTCACAGTACTTAGCATCACATAGTACCTTATAACTTCAAAGCACAACTCCCATTGACTTCAGTTGCAGCTGTGAATGCTCAGCACTTCTGTAAACCAGACCCCAGAGTCTCAAGTCAGGCAGCCAGAAAATGAGGAACACACAATTAGTGACCACCTGTGAAAAGTTTGGTTGAAGTGATTTGTCCAGCATCACATAGGAACTCTGAGCCACAAGGTGGGATAAAATCCAATTCACCAGGGCAGCAATCAGCTCCCTTAACCAGAAGGCCCTCCTTTTTCTTCCTGCAATCCCATCTCATTCACTACACGCTTCCCAACTTCTGCAAGGGTTAGGGCAACCATATTTCCCTATACTGAATACAGGACACGAGGTAACTTACTCGTATTCAAACAACTTCAACGGCAATCAGAACTATGCAGTACAAGCATTCAAATTAACATCGAGTTGACAGAGCACCTGTTAAAAAGAAACACTGCATAGTTGGATTCTTTTTATTTACCTTCCTTAAGGCTTTAGGGTTCACACAGGGAGGGGTCATACACACACACTCTCCCAAAACCCTCTCTCACACAGGGGGGTGACTGACCGATGCAACTCTTCCTGACCAGTGCTCTCTTCCCTACATGCCTGGCTGGGCCCCTGGGACGGACCTGGCTCTCTGGGTACCTGGCACCGCATCTTCCTAAGACAACACGTGTGTGTGTGGCGGGGAGGCACGCAGGATTCTATGATAAGAATGTGGCCAGCAGCAGCCGTTCGGCACCGTGCGGGAGGGAAGGGATAGAAGCGGTTTCCAGCTGCAAGAGGGGGGAGGGGGAGAACGAATGACCTGGTCCATGTCTTTCCAGAGTTCATCTCTTCTCTCCACATCCCCTTGGCTGGAAGCAGCTTGTCCCTTCCTGCCCGCAGTGTCAAAAGGCAGCTAACACCTCCAGGCTGCTGCTGGCCACTGACATAATCCAGCCGCCTCCTGTCCCCCGGCTACAGTGTGGGCAGAAAGGGGTTAATGCCCTAAGGATGCATTGTGCACCAGGGCCCAGGGAACTTGACTGCAGGGGCTTCAGTAAACCCAGTCAGAAGTGGCTCAGCAGATGAAGGTACCTAGGGGATGGAGCAGCCCCGTGCTCCCTGAGGTCAGGACCCAGTGTGTGTGTGGTGGGGGGAAAAATGGGTGAAGAGGGTGCTAAGTCCCTGCCCCAGGGGTTGTTGTGGAGCCTGCAGGTTCAGGGCGGGAACAGGCTGGAAATCGCTTCCCCCCACCACTCCAGAGCTTAGCTGAGGGTGGAGAGGCTCACCCGTGCCAGCGCTGTGCGTGGCTTTGGCACATGCAGGGCTCAGCTCCTCCTGGCCAGCGCCCCGGGCAGAGGGTCTTGGGCTTTCCCGGGGCACTGGGCCAGCTGGAAATGGGACGGGGGCAGGGCCCTGCAGGCCAAGAGCCGGCACACAGTGGGGGCTGCACTGACGGACCAGCCGGGGGAGTGGCCGGCCCTGCGTACTACGTCTTCGCCACACCACAAGCCTTGCATATCCACCCCCTTGTCAGCCACTGCACCCCCACACACACCGCTGGTGGGCGGGCGGCTGGTGAGCAGGGATCAGGCTAGCAACAGGACCCGCCAGTACTGATGGGGGGAGGAGGGAACTGAAAATATGGGACAATTTGCCCATTTTTAAGAAAAAGTAGGCTACCTGCAGGAGGGCTTAAATATGGGACTGTCCCATTAAAAACGGGACATCTGATCACCCTAGCTGGGGTCCTACACAAAACAACTTCCTTTACTACACACCCCAATTCATCTCCAGAGCAGGTCCATCCTGTGCACTGAATGAGGCAGAGATCCTGTGGAAAAAAAAGTGTGTGACCATGGAATTAAAGACTGTATCATAATGCATGGGCACAAGGGGACTGAATTAAGGGAAACGACATCATAATGAAGATAATCGACTTATACAAGGAGTGAATTTGGCCAATATTTTAAATGGCAAACTCTAGTAAAACAAGACAATTTTTCCTTCGTTTTTTATGCTTGTTCTAGCCCAACATCATCAGCATCAAAACACTATGGAACTGTAAAAAGAGAAGTTCTTGATCCAGAGTAAAGCAGTGAAACAAGAAAGATTTACACAAATTTAAAAGCATATCAGCTAGAATAACACAGTTTGCCAAACGTCAAGGTATATTATTAGCTTATAACAAACAAAGTAATATGTTTGAAAAGACTCATTTTGCACGTGAACTGTAGGCCTAATGAACCATCCCTTATTAGCAGAAATAAAGCTGGAGGTGTGTAAAAGGGACACCAGACATTCATTTACTGCATGATTCACCTGAGTGTTTTTATAATGGTAAATGAGCTGTTAAATGAACTTTCCAGGCACAGAAAGTTCATCAGATAATCCCCAGGATAAATGGTTTTACTGAAAAATTCCATCACTTAGGGGATGCAAACTGACATGATCACAATTAATAAGGACAGCATTTCCTATTTAAAGACTAGCAGATGTGAAATAATGAATGGCTTATTAATGTCACTAAAAAGGAATTTCAAATAATAATGGCTGCTCCTGTTCCTCACATATTTCACTCAACCACATTTTTGGTTATAAAAATTACCAAGCATACTTGAGTTATTGGACTTGGGCAATTCAAGCTGACTTTCCCCAGTAATGAGGATTCCTCATTTCTTCAGCTTGCTCAAAATCTTTCAGCTCTCTTGGAAACCAGTTTCCTTTTTTCCCTCAGGTGAAGTGTTGCCCTTATAGTCACTTCCTTAACTGTGAAGAATCCACTGCCTCAGTCTTAAGTACATAATTAATCTAGCTATGTATATTGGAAGAACAACTATGAGTGATGTATTTCAGTAGTTAATCTTAAAC